GGCTCTGAGACTTTTTGTAAGAGCCTTGGCGAGTGCATGTTTATGGCCATGAGAGGTAGAGTTCTCATTGCTGCGCTGGTGCTACCATATAGTTATTGTTTTCATGTGAATGTCGAGCACGAGAGTAGCTCTTCTCCATCTTCATTGCATTTGTCAGTACTCTGGATACCCATGTATTGAGTCAGCACTGCTTTCCTGTTTGCAACTGGTTGTGTTTATTGCTATTGGAAGTGGCACTTAGACCCCTTATGATAGTCCCCGGGCATCCAGGATATGATGCTGATATCCCGCCGCCCTAACTTCGACAGAGTGAGCCCCAGCCTCTAAACCGCAACCGCAGACCCGTAGCGTTGGAAGACCTTGTTCAGGCAAACTCCACGATCATGGAGTTGGCGCAGCGAAACTTGCAACTAGAGGCATGGTCGTGGTCTGCGCGGTTATAGCCGTGTCCTTTCGCAGTTACAGTAGCGATGGTAGTGGTCGTCGAATCGTTGTCAACATATCATCATCCCGGGCAGCCTCACTACCGTCGCTGTCACCGTCTATGCCCTATGCCCAGTCCCAAGTGGCGTCTATCGGAGCTTCATAAACTGTAGTTTACCGGTCTGTTTTGAATTTAGTCTGAAGCAGGCGTCAGGGTTGCCTTTGCCTCCTGGACCAATATATGCGCACAACAAGCACTGTTGCTGGTATTGGCTTTTGCCGTCCTATGCCTACCATGACTCATGACCGCGATGGCAATCCAAAGCCCAGGGGCGCCTTCAGGCTGCCCAGCAGCAGCTGGAGAAGCTGCGAGGCAGCTTTCTGCACAATCTCAGATCTCTCTGGCGTTCAGGGAACCTGAGACTTCAAGAGATGTGCTTAGGTGAATGTGAGGTCTCAAGCGGGGCTCTCTCAAAGGCCGTCTTGGGTACAGCATAGGAGCTATTCTGCCCGGCTTATGATATGTAAAGCTGCCGGCTTGGAGGCACACATGTCCTTGCACGCTGGAGCCGCATGCAGGCGAATCATCTATAGATCATGTCGCAGTCTCTAGCCGGCGAAGCCAGACCTCCAGTCACGGTAAGTACAATGTGGGGTCTTTACAAAGTTTGCTGCCCGTTTTCCTTGGCATCGCCGTGACACGCCGTGAACTGAAAGAAGCAAATGCGCACCTGGGCGGTCCGTATTACAGTTGGACGTTGATCCAGGAGCCAGAAGAGACCAATGTCTACTATCATGAACCTTAGTCATACGACGAACGATGCAAAGATAAGATGACAGAGATAGCGTATTCGAACAATCGGATAATATAATAGGGAGTAAATACCAGACAACATAGGGAAGCTGCAGGTGTGACCCCGAACCTTCCGGGAAGCTGCTCCACCACTCCACGGGCTGATTCCCCAGCCGGAGAGTAGAGGTAGCAGGTGCCTGGTTTAAGGGTTCAGGGGTAAAGGCTTCTGTAGATAACGCTTCGGAGAGTTTGGCTGCGCAGTTGCTGCTTTGTGTAGTCTCACGTCATGCTTTGCAGTTTGCTCAGAAAGTGTGGCAGATTTGTCTTTAAGCCTTGCTAGTTTCTGTCCATTGGAGGATGCTCAAAGCGTAGTATGAATGCTACGCGAGGAGTCGCATGCTGTTGCGACAACCAGAGACAACAAGTGAACAGCAAGTAAATAAGTTCTCCCCAACACACAGTGACGGTACCTGCAGCGGAGCGCTGCAGGTCGCTCTCCCTTGCGTGCTTACTGAGGCTGCTTCGCAATCCTCACGCTCGGTTTCCCGCAGCGGCTCCGCTGTGCAGGCCGAAGTTGTGAAACCTTCTTGTCAACTTGCGCAATGAAGCTGCTTTATGTCTAATTCCCGATTTCTCATGAGTGGAACAGGAGGAGTGGAAGCTCCTGGAGTGTCCCCAGGTTCGACAGCGGGTGGATTTGGACATCGAGCGCAATGCCAGCGCACAGTCGTTGCACAGTGGTGCCTCCGAGAGGCCAGGGTTTCCGACTTGGTGGCTAATCGCATCCCGGGATCATCGATTCATACACAGGTCAAGGAGTAGACATCGCAGTATGCAGAGCTTGCCGTGCCAAGCCGGGCAGCCGGAGCTTTGCCTTCGATGCTCAGGCGATCCACATCGCAGCCCCGGCGCAGTCCAAGTCGTGAGGGCAGGGCTGCAAATGCCCAGGCAGTGCACGCCTAAGCCGAAAGGACCGCTCTTGTTGACAATCGAGAAGCAAATGAAGTCCCACGATACAGGGATCTTGCGCGAATAGGGCTAGGCTCAGAGCGGCGCCCGGCAGCACTCTTCAAGTCTACTGGAAACCCCCCAAAGTCTTCGCACCTAGTTGCTCAACAACTTCAGTTTGTCCACCCAACACACTGCCAAACACCCACCTTCGATCCCTGTACAAAGTACCGGAAAGAAGTCGGCATGCAGGCCTCGTTGCGTGCACGCGCGGCCGGGGCCAAGAACGCCGCACCGCAGCGGGGCTCTGAGATGTGACCTCTCTTCTGAGAATGATTCGGTTTACTATCATGAATGGCGCTTCGACAGATCAGGGTTTGAAAGGATCGCACCCGTAGTGCTTGCAGAATCCAGCGTCAGGGTGCTTAGGGTGCCATCACGAGCATGTGTACATAGTATAGGGGCCTTAATAATTAGAATAGGGTTTTTTGGGCCCATTATGTTAGACTTCTAACAAGGAGCCCCCCAAAAGGTAGTATAGGTAACTGTTGAGACCCCTATATTCGTTACCTGCCTATCGTACATCAGCGCCTCCATCGGCTCGTACAGAAACGTATCTATCTCTAGGTGTAGGATGCCCCCTAAAGCCTAAATCCATAAACCCGAAACCCCTAAACTTTAAACACCTAAACTCTAAACCCTACCAGAGGCAAAGGTCGATCGATGCCCGACAAGAAGATGAAGCAGCGCTACAGGCGCACATGGGATGGAGCTGGGGCCCACCACGGAAGAGACTTCGCCTACGCATGGAGGTGTCGGCAAGAGGACGAAACCAGTACAGTGAGTTCGAACTCGATGAAGGGGAGCAGATCGCCCTGACCTTGAGCCTCACCGACTCCTTGGAGACGTATCGCAAAGGAGAGACGCGGCTGCCACCTACTGATGCACTGTCAGCGCTCCGTGAAGAGGAGGAGAGGCTGAAAAGATACAACCCAGATAAGCCCGGGGCTGCGGACCCTCCGATCGTCTTCAAGTTGAATGACCCCGCTACACAACGGCTGTACCAGGAATGGAAACAAAATCCTGAGCACACAGCGGCAGTGTTGGCGACCGGTGGCAAAGACCTCCTCACCTTCTTTCAGACGAACCTCGACTTGGAGCACACGAGCACCTTACCGGAGACACTTCCAGCAGCAGCGATGGGACAACCTACCCTTGGCGACGAGCTCCGGAACAAGTTCCTGGGTGCAGGGTGGAAGGACATGCTGCGGAACCCGGAGTTCCAAGGATCCTTCGCCAACTGGTGCGCCGGGGAGATGACGGACGCATTGGTGGAGCTGAGATATGGTGTTGCAGTGCTGATGGGATTCAGACACCTGTTGGCGAGGGGATGGATCCACCTGCCCACGCATGAGGAGTGCGGCTCAGTGGACAGTGATGCGGATACCGAAGAAGCGGGCCCCGGTGACTGCCCGACGGAAGCCGCGGAGGCCGAACCATGTGGAACAGCGGTGGACGACGAAACGTCCATGATGCAACACCAGCAGCGCGAAATCTACCTGAAGTGGAGCCGAGGCCTCTTATCTGATGAGGCCATCTTGGACATGTACGGTGAGACCGTCTATCATGCCCTACTACGTCGAGCCCACCGTGAACGAGTTGGAGCAGCTGCACGCCGCCAAGCTGGCCCGCCTCTGAGCTCGAAGACGCCATCATCTGACACGGCCGACTAGGACAGGCCTTTAGTCCGCTTGCCTCCACGATGCAGTAGCATTGCAGTAATGCCGTGACACTTCCTTTGACCAAGTCGACTGAAGGTCCGCCTGTATTACAACACTTTGGAGTTATCGTGCCATCTTTATATAAGTTTATAAGTGCACCGAGGCGGACCTGTCGCTGCTGTAGAGCAATGCTCCAGCAGAGTATAGCCAAGCAAAGGGTTGACGGACGTTGTATTGCAAGGGATTTGCCTTTCCAGCTGTCCTGTGAGGTGATACTGTCACATCTTCATGTGTGGTCTCCCTTGGAAGCTGCAACAGAGAGTCGCCCGGTAGTTCCTTTGCTGTCCAACGATTGCTCCGGCTGGGATTCGCTTACTCATGCAGTTCAGGTTCTACTGTTTTAGACTTCGGTTTTAGTGGGGTGCAAAGCCGGGGTCTTGGCCAGCCCCTCAGCCCGCAGGGCCTTCCGACTAACCAACCGGGCAGAAGGAAAAGAGGGTTCAAAAAAAAAACATAAACCCTTAAACCCTCATCCCTTAAACCCCGAAAAGATACCTCCTCGTGACTTCCGTAGCTGGCGCCTTTCCGGCAGGAACGGGCAAAGACCCAAAACATCGGCGAGTGCCAGGCTTCGCGTGTCGACATGGTGATATCATTATACAGTATATTCCAGTATATATAGTATAGTATAGCTTTGTATGTTATTTAAATGATTATGTTGCATGGCAGATCATGAGTTTACCTTTGCAAGCGCAATTCTCAGAATGAGCTTCGTTGCTGTGATATTCAACTTGCCTAAACTGTTCCGAAGGCCTTGTCCGGTTTCGTGGGGGCAACATGAAAAAAGCATGACTTTCCCGGCAGGACCTGGCATAAACGTCCCTCTCACCGTGTGCAGTGCTCCGGGGTGGAAATATCCGGTAGACTTCTTGGAGCGAACAGACGCCGCGGAGGCCAACACCGGAAGATCTTCAGAGCAGCCTGAACAGGCCTGGAGTCTTTTGTCACAACCCTGCGTCTCTGTGAAGAACGGAGGGTATCATCATGTTGCAGGTTCTTGTCCGCTTTAGTCTCGGTTTTGAAGAGGAGCAGTTTGGGCAGGCCCACCAAGTGTCATGCCCATGCCAGCCATGTTCGCCGGAATGCTGCCACAGACTAAGATGGTCCTGGTAGCCATCGCGACCCTTGCGGCTGTAACAGGCTGTCTCCTTGCCGAACTTATCAAAATTGTCAGTCAAGTTGTGCTACTAGTTGATGCGGCTTTGACGCAAAATAACGAAGTGAAGATAGGTTTCATCGAGCTCCTCAAGAGACAGTTGATCAGCTGGGTTGACAAGCAGCCTTGGCGCTCGCGAATGATCCCACTCCAGCGAGGCATGATGCACAACTTCGGCTACAGTGAGTCAGCCACTTCTGATGAAAAGGTCGTTGTCGACTGTTACTGCTTTCTGATTGCCATTTGCTCCCATCATCTCGTGGTGAGCCTGGCCCTAACTCCTGTGGCTGTGTTGGGCTGGGACTCCGCCGGTTCCGCCGGACAGTTCTTGTTTTATGCTGGTGCCGTGAGTGATGTGGCGTACTCGGCTTACGACAGCGTCCAGACGACTCTCCGAACCTTTCTCCCAGTCAGCTTCAAATGCCTGGGTGTGCAGCTACCGACGAAATACTTCATTGTCATTGTTTGCTTGCATCATACACTCTCCATGTTGCTGACGGTGCCGATGATCCTCTACTACCCTGCCATGAGAGCACTACACGTTTTGATGTGGTCAATGCTCTCTGCTGCCGGCGTCGGCTATTTGCTCGGTTGCTACAAGTTCACCCTGGACACGCAAGACTCTCGCCACGAGTTCTTGCAATACAAGGCCGGAGTATCCCGGGTTCTCTATACACAACGTCAAGTAATTCATCTAGGTCTGTCTCAACTTTTTGTTAAGTCCTGGATTCGACTTGCAGCCTTGCAGAGGCAAGGTCACGGTGTGGTGTTTTGAAGTCTTGCGGTTTTGGTTATTTTGGATGCCGCGATGTAATTTGAGTCTACGCTCTGCTGCACAGGCAATCGTGCTTGTTCAGTTCTTGATGATATGGCTCGTGAGAGGGTACGTCTGGCTGGGTCAAGCTACATCTGCGATGATGGTCTTCTACAGACTTGGTGACACCTCTTTTCTGTTTCTTGGGTCAGCGGGCTTCGTTTTGATGACACTTTTCAACGTGCTGATGGTGATCGATTCGACCACAGCAGCTGTCAAGTGGCTGCCGATGCAGATGCACAAGCGGGGCCAGGATACGAAGCTGGCATGCCACGAGACACAAAAGCTCCCACTTCGAGAATCTGTCAGCGAAAGGAAAGACCTCCCGGCTATGGTGCATGCAGCGGGCTTGCGGAGAGTGCACGGGGCGAGGGTGGCATTTGCCACTCAATGATCGACGCAGAGTTTCGCACGGGCAAGCGGCAGATTGCATGACCAACCCCTCTGCACCCAAGAATGTCTGATCGCTTTGTTGAGGTGTTTTTACAACACTGCGACTTAGTTCCATACCTGTTGGGTTTGAAGAGCTGAGCCTCTGCCTCAAGCTGCCGGGCCATGTAGCGATGACCTTAGATTCGTTAGTCTCATGCAATGCGCTTTCTCGCGCTTACCTTCAGCCCTAATTAATCAAATAGCACCGCGCTCGCCAAAGGGTACGCTCCGCTGCGTTTGCAAAAGGGACTGATGCCAGCCCCAAGTTGTAGGAGTGCGTGCCAGTTTCGTGCATACCCGCAATTTGAGCCTTTAGTGTTTAGGGTTGAGGGTAAGGATTGTAAGGGTTTTTCGTCTAGTTTCAGCTTGTTCCGCATGCTTCAAGAATGAGGCAACACAGATCATGGTAGCGTGGCTGGGTGCTGCGACCTCATGTTCCCATGCTTCGACCTAGACATGCACCCTTGCTGGCCGTCGGCATGAAACAGGGGTTCCTCACACCACACTTGCTTTGAACCGACCCTGCCCTGTCCATCCATCCAACCATCCATCTACCCGTCTATGTATCTAGCTGACCGGCTGACTGACCAACTCTGTATCTATCTGTTTATCGATCTATCTGTCTGTGTATCTCTGTATCTCTACATCCATCTTTCTAGCTGTCTGTGTGTCTATCTTTTCATCTGTCTATCTCTTTCACTCTCTGTATCTATCTGAAAATCAGTCTGTCTATCTACCTACCTATCTATTTTTCTATCTGTCGGTACATATGAATATTACATGTGTGTATGTGTGTGTATGTATATATATACACATATGTTATAGGTCAAAATAGAACTGGCGAGGGCTGTGTGTCGGACTCATGCTGGGTGTTCGAGGCTTGCAGAGGAGATGCGCCGGTTCCAGGAGAAGGCTTCGCCGTTGCAATTACATTTGCTGCGTAAACGGGCGAGGCTACAAGCGGTGTAGCGCATGTCAGTGTTGATTCATGAGTCTGTGGGAACGTGGTCGCACGGTGGTAGAACAGGAGTCGCCGACAGCCAACAAGGTCTGTATGAGTGCTATGTGGAATAGATACTTCTTGGAGCAAGTCAAGTTGGCAAGGTCTTGAGTCTTGCGTGACAGCTGAAAAGCTGGGGGGAAGTCTCTTGGTTCATCTTGAGAGAATACGGTACAGAGACCCGGAGTTGCAATTGAACCTTTTGGAGTGCCGCTTCCTGCACATGTGGCTAGAGTTGCCGCAGTTCTGGAATTGAAAACCCGAAGCATGTTGCAGCTCAGCTTCCAGCCGTCTCTTCTTGATTTCTGTATCTCTCTCTCTCTCTCTCGCCCCCTCCCTCCCTCTCTCGCTCGCTCTCTCTCTCTCACTCTCGCTCTCTCTCTCTCTCTCTCTCACTCTCGCTCTCTCGCTCTCGCTCTCTCTCTCTCTCTCTCTCGCTCTCTCTCTCTCTCTCTCTCTCTCTCTCTCTCTCTCTCTCTCTCTCTCTCTCTCTCTCTCTCTCTCTCTCTCTCTCTCTCTCTCTCTCTCTCTCTCTCTCCTCTGTCTACTCTCTCTTTCTGTCCCTCCCTCCCTGCCTCCATCGCTGCCTCTCTCCGTCTCAAAAAGGCATTCTTCGATGAAGTGCGTCACTGGCAGATGCGATCGCAATATTGTGTACCCTGTCGTGTCAATCGGCTTTCGGCATTTTACATCCCGGCTCCTTTGAGATTCACGAGCGCCGTCGAAACTGCCATGAAGCCCAGCCTGCAGGTGGTCCAGTACAATACAGACTGATGTCCGAAGCTGCCGTTCCGACCGGGCGGAATTGTTTACAGTTACTTGCATACCTACTCTCCAACTCGCAAGCCCTGTCCGGTGCTCGGCTGGAGAAGAAAAGACTCAGACCTGGGTGGAGGCAGTTTTCCAAGCTGGTCGTACACATGGAGCGAAAGCACTCGCGGCACGTGGGCTCCAGAATCTCCCAAACTATGTTCTGCAAGCGATGTGTTCAGGATTCCAATGACATGCATGTGTATAAGCACATTGTGTGTGTGTATAAATGTGTTCATACATCTCTCTCTATATATGTATACCTATATATATATATGTATACCTATACATACATAGATATACAAACATCTGCATATACATAAGCATATGTATGTTTAGCGGTCCATCTGTTTCTGTGCACAGGAGTCAGCATGAAGACACTAAAGACTGTGCACGCACATAGTTTTGCGTCGAACAAGTTGTATCAAGTTGTGGTGCCCTGTAGCTTTCCAGCCAGCACATGATGGGCGCGTGACTCACCTTTTGCCGGATAAGGCGCTCCGCATATGAGCTAACAGGGTGTTGACCTTCTGTGCGAAAGGGATGCGGAACCAAAAAATCTCTGTAAGCTGGAAGGGTTCCCGTCATTCTTCGGAACAGCTTCCGACTTGTTTGAGTTTTCTGAGAAAAAACATGCACTGGCATTGCTAACTGAAGCCGTGAACAACTGTGCAACCCGTGCAGTCGCTCCAAAGCTGTGCCAGGACCTCCGGGAATGCAGCTCTCGGCACCCAGCGGGCCACAAGAACGCGTCCCAAGGTTACTTCCAAGCAGTGGTCTGGACTCCATGAGCCAATGAAATGCTTGTCGAAGCAGCTTATCAACGTACTCAGGGTTGCTAGGTGAACGAGCGGTTTGGCAGTTTTGAGACCCCTTTGAAGATTCAAAGCAGCTTCTACGAGCAGCCCTTTGTCACCGGGATGACTCAGTACACAATGATGCATTGCTGCTTCTTGGAGGATTGCACCGCCTATCGCACAAGGTCTGGCAGAGCGCACTCCTGCAGCGCCGTCGCTTCGGCAGGCTCTCGCAGTTGCTGATTGTGATTCGTTTTGGATATTGTGTTCCTTATCATTATCTGATACTATGTATATGGTAGTCGCCACTATACTCTTGTCGTAGGTACTTGCCATCACGAACTGCTGCTTTTGCCGCTGCTGCAGTACTTGCACAGGGTCTTGCCGCGATGGCGACGATTTCTGCTGCTGCTGCTGCTTCTCCTACTACTTCTGGCGCCTTGGGTTCTTCCGGTGTTGCTGCTGCACCGGAGACAGTATCTATAACGACGACCACGCGAGGAGGAGGATGACGACTATGATTGCTACAGTTGCTGCAGCTACTGCCATTTCTATTCCTGCGAACTGCGTACCAATGCGGACCACTACTGCTACCACCACTACTACTACTACTACTACTACTACTACTACTACTACTACTACTACTACTACTACTACTACTATTACTACTATTACTACTATTACTACTACTACGACTACTACGACTACTACGACTACTACGACTACTACGACTACTACTACTACTACTACTGCTACTACTACTACTACTACCACTACCACTACCACTGTGGTACCACTACCAGTACAACTACCACTACTACTACTGCTGCTGCTACTACAACTACAACTACAACTACTGCTACTACTACTACTTCTACTACTACTAGTAGTAGTACTACTACTACTACTACTACTACGACTACTACTACTGCTACCACTACTACTAGCCAACCCCCTAGCCTACCAATCACCTGGCGCCTTAACCCATCATCATCATCAACAACAACAAAAAGAACAGAAGATGCAGGGGCTGAGGCCCCCTGTCTGTGACAGTTGCAGAAGTTGCCGAGGCTCACTTGCCTGAGCTGTCACAGATGCATGGGCTCAGGCTCCATATTTGTGACAGTTGCAAAAGTTGCCGAGGCTCAGTTGCATGAACTGTCACAGCCGGTGAAGTTGCAGAGGCTCAGGCCCCAAAACTGCGACAGCAACTGGAGTTGCAAAATCGACGGGGAAGAAACTGCCAAACCACATGCGGTCGGATAGTACGAAAACGCTTTAGGTGCCGCGCAAAACGCAAGTACTACCAAGAAGGTTTAGACACTCCTAAGCGCAACATCTTCCGAACATCAAAAACAAAGATGTCAGCTGTACGTGGGAGGGGTTCGCATACACCCTTAAAGCCCTGACCTTGGCGTAGGAGGGTTTGCTTTTGAAGTGGTGTGTGGTGTTCGGGAGGCTGCCTGTACGTCATCATGCGCCCCCCCCCCCCCCCCCCCCCCCCCCCCCCCCCCCGGAAGCAACAACGGTGCCAAAAAACGGTGCTTAGCAATGGACTACGACATGACCAAAGTAACCAAAATGCTTTAATTGCCGAATAAAAACCAGGTTTCCCCCAACCAATTTTGAGTTTTTGCCGAAAGCCCTCGCAAAGCCCAATGTCGAGATCGCAAAGTCCAGAGGTACGTTGGTGACTATATAAGATGGTCTGACATCACGAAAGTATTGTGAATACCGAGCATAACGGCGCTTCCGGACATGTTGTTCGGGGGGTCTGCGTAGCAACGTCGTCATCATCCCCCCCTTCCTTCCACCCCTCCCCCAAAATGCAAGTCCAGAATCGGAAGCTCGAGTTTGCAAACTCGCCTGTGAATTTTGAAACTTCATAAGATGTTCGTACATGACGTGTTGTAAACACCGTGTGTAAAACGGATGTGCGCGATAACAGTATGTAAGAGAGGTGGTTGGTAGGCGTGGGGGGGCGCTTACTACTACTACGACGACGACGACTACTACTACTACTACTACTACTACTACTACTATTACTGTTACTACTACGACTACTACGACTACTACTACTACTACTGCTACGACCACTACTACTACTACTACTACTACTACCACTACTACTACTACTACTACTACTACTACTACTACTACTATTACTGTTACTACTACGACTACTACTACCACTACTACTACTACTACTACTACTACAACTACTGCTACTACTGCTACGACCACTACTACTGCTGAGACTACTACTACCGCTGCTACTACTACTATCACTACTACTGCTACTACTACCATCACTACTACTACTAATACCATTTCTACTACTATTACGACTACTACTACTACCACTACTACTACTACTACTACTACTACTACTACTACTACTACTACTACTACTACTACTACTAATTCCATTTCTACTACTACTACTACACTACTACGACTACTCTACTGCTATAACTACTACTACTACGACGACGACTACTTCTGCTGCTACTTCTACTGCCACCACTACTACTATGAACGTGGCTCCATTGAATTAGGCTTATGAGGGCCGCTTGCGACTTAGCCGCTGGAGTTTGCAGACTTGTGCTATGGCCGCAGTGTGCGTGAAGAATGCAGATCTGGCTGGATTGCAGAGAACGACCAATGCAGGTTTTGACTGGAGAAGTTACGCCGCAAGAGAGCTGCTACAAACCGCTATTGATACAGGGTTGACGGAAGTGAGAGACAAACAGCGAAGCTATCTCAACATGGTCAAGTGGATGGTGAAGCAGGGCGCAGATCCTTTTAAGAAGGACTCCTCCGGGAGGTCGGCTGTGGATATAGTATCTTCGAGGATGGAGCCACGGTTGGTTGAAGTTCAAGCCACTTTCCTTAAGCAGATGCTGCGGGTCTTGGCAGGTCCTGGCTCCACACCACGAAAGCGGGAAACGGTTGAACTTGATCGGACCGTCCTTCAGCGCTGGAAGGGCATCCGAAACAAAGCCGATAGCCACAATGTCGCATTTCAGACTGCAGAGGGTCCGGTGACGGCACATGATGTTGTGCTGGCAGTGGCCTCTCCCGTCTTGGCAGCCATGCTTGAGTCTACCATGGCAGAGGGCACCAGCAAATGTATCCAAGTCGAGGATTCATCAGCTGCTGCCGTGGGGCTGTTCTTGGACATGGTGTACATGAGTGCCACGGACAGTGAGCTGGAGTACAAGACTGTGCTTGGTGCCCTAGACCTTTCGCACCGATGGCAGGTGCCCAGTATCGTCCGCATTTTCGAGAACATATTGGAAGACGCCCTGTCAAATTCTAACTTTCAGGAGATTGCGGAGGCGGCTGCTTTGAAGGATTTGGTCAGCTTGAAACAGGCGTGTGTCGAGTTTGCACAGTTCAACAGTAGCATCAATGATCTGGTTCAGCAGCGCAGGCTGCACCCAGCCGTGATGAAGCTTCTGGGTGCACCGGAACTGGATGATTCACCGGCAAAGAAGCTGCGGACGTTCTGAGCAACTTCTAAGCGCCGTCTTGTTCGGTATCTATTGTAGTTACTCTGGTATGCGGCAGTCAAGTAAATACCACGGCATAATGGACTCTCAGAGCACCCACGGAAGTTAATCTGGACCCCTTGAACTCGTGTTAAGGCTTCTTCGATCTCATATCTGCATCACAAGGAACTACTTTGGGGACTGGCTGACCTAGCTGTTTCACCTTGCGATTCTGACGCTGGGAGACGGCAGTGATGATGACAGCGCACTCGGATGTTGACCATCTTTCTGCTCACCTTACAGCTGTTTCTAGACCCCCTGAGCCGCTCCCTCCATGTTCTCATAAGCCGGACTCCGCGAGACCAAGCTCAACGCCAACCAGCGAGTTGCTACTCCTACTACTGCTGCTGGTGCTGCTACTGCTACTGCTGAGGCATGGTCGGGGGTTTCCGGCGTGCTGCCACTCAGTTCCCTCCTTGAGTCGAGGTTTCTGACTGCTTGGATCCCATGCGCCACACAGAGCCGAAGCCAGTGTCAGGCTATGGCAGCCCGAGTATGTGCAGTATGTCCCCGATCTCCCCGGGCCTCACTCTCGGATGAGTGCCAGAATCACCTTCAGGCTCTGAGGAGCATCTCAAATTGAATGCATTTGTTTGTATGCGGCCGCTTGAGTATATACGGAGTTCAGGGCGCTTCAGGCCACTACATGCCTTAGAAAACGAGCACGGGCTCAGGATCAGGGTTTATTCTGTCCACATCCGGACTGTCACGCGTCTATTTGTTGTCTAAAGTTTAGACAACAAGCGCTGTTTGTCAGTGCTACCTACGAACCCGCAAGGGGCCACGAAGTGAGCAGACAGGGGCCTAAACTACCCTCGAACTCTGCGCCTCGATCTGACATAATTCCGGGTAAGATGATCACGACCATCGGGGTAACAAGGTTAGCAAAAGGGTTCGTATATTTTGTCTAAGGGATACTCTACAGGTTCTAGAAGGGTTCTAGAACGAGGATTTGTGGGCTTCCTAAGCCCCGGCCGTGACAGGGGTTCCAACCTGAGAAGTGTGGAGCTGTGCAAGGACGCAGGGATACCATAAGGTCAGATAGGAACCTGAAGACCATAAGGGATACTGTAAGGATACTATATAAGGGTACTATAAGCCTTAAAAGGGGGGCCTTTAAAGGGATCCTAGAAGGGTTCCTTTAACAATGTCTGGGTGCTTCGGCCGGTTCTAAGGCTTCTTGGAATTTCGGACGTCCTCTTGCTACGAGAGTTTGGGGGGGTTCAGCTCACTGCCATGTTGGCTAGTGTTGCTCTTGGTATCATTATTGTCATTAATGTTATCAATGCTGTGATTCTGAGAACTATCCTGGTCATGAGCATGGTCATCATTAATCTTGAGCTATTGTTAGTACTATTGTTGCTTGTGCGCGTGGCTACCTTTATGATTTGAGCGTCTACTGATTTCTATATGGGTTGAGCCCTGTTCCTGAAACCGGAAAAGTCCATCCCCCGTGACTTGGAAAGGTCCAGAACTCTGGGACAGGACGGAGAAGGCCGGGCCTGACTTAGTGGACATTGGCTGTAAAGTTTAGCGGATTTTAGGAGGATTCAGGTTTTAAGGCTTAGAGCATACGTAGGGGATTCGATAGTGCTGGGCTAACAGCAGTTTGTTGACGGTCGTCCTACCGATATGCTGCGGTCCATCATGCACCAGTCCTTGAAGGAATTGCCTGGCCTTGTGACAAGTTGTTCACAAATGCCAGAACCTGACAACCCAGAATTTCGGCTGCCGTATCCCAGGCATTTTTGTCGAACCTTTCTCCCAGCGCGGCAAGCACGACAGCGCCCTTGGAGGACGCATACCGAGGGTTCCAGCAGACCTGACCAAAAGCGTGGTACAATCATTCTAGCAGCTAGCAATCGGAATTGACTTCAACGTTTCCTTCAGTGGTGGAGTCATGATCGTCGAAATCTTCGTCGTCACACCAGTAGCATCTGAAGTGTGACAGACATGAGCCTGCACTTAATGCAGTTAGAGTGTGCGTGTGGCATGCTGAGTTAGCTGGTCACTTGTTTCTTCAGACAATGCTGTGTGGTTGTTTGTTTAGCCGTTCTGCAGGAACACTTGTGGTCGTACAGGGTCACACAGCCTTAACCTAGATCTACCTGTTCTCGCACGTTGCCATACAAAGACATTTGAGGATCCCACAGACTTAGGGGGAATTCCGGCAGCTAAGATGTCAGGGTCTGTAACGACCCACTGCAACTGCACCTGCAGACTCAACGTCTTCGAACCTTACATCCTGTGCAGGCCAGCCGCCCCGCCAGTGAACACCATGGTGCTGAGCCCAGGGATTCGTGCAAGAGCATTCACGCACACTCCGCGTAGGACAGCTGCACCTCGAACGGGATCCTGGTTCACTATTAACTTGGACTTGCAATCCTGGCTGATGCGGCTCGGAAGGGTTGTTCGGGATTGGCTGTGCTTCAAGAAAGCTGTTGCCTGCAAGCCCGACTTAAGAAGGATGTGCCAAGCGTCACGCCGCTACCAGTATCATTAGCGATGTGGAACAATCCGGAGCGGCGCAAGAAACTTCGGCTGCACCGACTTCATCACAATCCATAGCTGGCAAGCCAAGTATCGAGAGCTCTCTATCACGAGGGGTGAAGTTCGCAAGACTCTCTTCGATTCGCCATCCAAGGGAAAATACATAGATCCATGTCGAAAGTAGCTTACGGCACATCATTCGAATTGAGCTCGCCCTTCCATCCGAGGTCCTTCGTCACTGTCCCCAGAGCGGCTAACAATGATGCTGGGCCGACGGTCGCTGTCAAGCACAGCCAAAGATGCCGTGTCCAGAACAGCCCATCAGCTGCTATGGAATTCAGGGTCCCACTGAAAGCATACTGACACCATGGCATCCTTCCGAAGCACGATGCTTTCAGGGTCGGATCGGACGGTTGCGCTGTGCCTGTCCAAGACAGCATGTGCCTGATCCCAAGGACTCGCCAACTCCGGGCAGCCCCTGGGCGGAAGGGCCCTCTCTGCAGTGCTTCGGACGCATCAATTGCAAACCACGGGGCCACAGATTGATTGAGAGGTGTGTAGATATGGACTCTAGCGCCGCCATTCGGAGAAGCTCAACTCAGTTGTTTCCAGAAGCAGCACTATTTCAGGCGCACGGTCTTGCAGGAACCACTGCCCGAAACAGATCTCACCAATCAGCGAGCGTCCAGACGGGATTCCCGACTCGGGGCTCCCTAAACCCTAAACCCAGCTTCAGGAGCTGCGTGGACTCTCAAGAGAAGCTCTCGAAGGCCGCGAAGTGGGCCAAAGACTCAGAGCAAAGCCTTTGAAGTGCAGCAAGCGTGTGGTTTCCGACACCTCAACTCGATGGAATGTTACATTCTAAGTTCGACCTTCTATAATTCGTTTTGCAAATTATACAGCCAACGTTGACTTTGTCATTTTGTATCACGATACAATGTTTATGTTATATTATACGATAAGATAGTGTGGTATATCATGTTGTATAGCATAATACTACATTTTGTTATAGTGTTTGTATTGAACTCTATTACGTATCCAATCTGTATACATATATCTATATATATATATATATATATATATATATATATATGTATATATATATATATATGTACATATATATGTATACATATATATATATATATATATATATATACATATATATATATATATGTATGCATACTACAATCACACAATCAGTAGGTCTGTATCATCTGTCTATACATATAGACATGTAGACTATGTATATGTATAGACGTCTGTATATACACATATACATGTATATATATATATATGTACATTTGTATGTACACGTGTGTATATGAATAGAATATGTGTAATGTAGTGTGTCATGTTGTATTAACTTGTATTAAAAGTCCTTCTTCCATCCCCAAGGCGGCCACACGGCTGGGGTCTGGCAATGAGGCCGTTGAGGCCAGACCTTCTTGTGCATTCTGTGGTGATGTTGTGGTTTAGGAGTTTAGGGTTTAGGGCTTGGCTCATGGTCGGGATGAGAGGCAAGCTGTTGAGATTTGGAGTGCTCGTATTCGTACGCACGCTCCGATGTCCAGGCCGCCCGTCGCCATCTGAGAGACTTGCGATCCCGCCAAAGCCGGCTCTGCCGCCGCCTGAGACGACGGATAATTCTCCAAGCACGCTGTTAAAGTTTCGCGGGTAAATAAGAAGATGCTTCGTTGCATGTAGCAGTGCATTTGTGAAATGGCAAGTCCTCGCAACAAGGTCTGGTCAACAACACCCAAACTCCCCGTGCGGGCCACTGCACTGAGGCTTCAAGGCTACGGTGCGCTTTCACAAGGCCTGTCCCTGCTCCGTGCAGCTCATGGCTTCATGGGTCGTGTTGCAACTGTGTTCCTTGAGGCGAACATTGCTATCAGGTTGGTGCTTCTTTTTCCTCTGTCCCCAGTCGCGACTAGCTGCCCTGACACCACCGCCACAACGACTGTTGAAACAACCAGTACTGCTGTCACTAGGACAGAAGTTAAAAGGGCTACTGCTCCCGCCATTGCTACTGATACAAGGCTGGTCCCTCTGGCTACTTCTTTCGATGCAGTCTTCTGAGTTAGTCTGTTGTCGGGTTATTGGTTGCGCGCCTGATGGTTCAGGTCGTAGGTTCAACCCTTGTCTGGTTGCGAGTCAGGGGGGTCGAAACCGCAGGGGTCGACGCCGGGAAATCCTTTCGACAGCGGGCTTGAACGTCTATTGATCCCGTGGAGGAAACCTTGGCATTTGAGTTGCAAGAACTGGCCTGCAGCTTAGCCTTTGGCCTTCTTTCGCCAGAGCGGCCGCTGCACCAGGGTGGTGGCCGTAGACTTGCAGTCGGGGTTTGCGTGGGAGCCTGATGAGACTTGTGCTTCCTTGGGCTTTTCTATATGAGGCTTGTTTCAACTTTGCCTCGGAGTTAAACGCTGAGGCCAATGGTCACGCTGGTGGCTTTGACGACTTCCAGGTGGAACAGAGTCCAAGGGCCTTGGGACAAGCATCATACATAATGTCAAGAGTAAATTGCTGGAACTGCAGTCATGGCTATTACCACCTGTGTGGTACTGGTAGTTGCGAGGTACAGTGTTTCCAGTGCGGCTTCACGATCATGAAAGCAGTGATGGTAGTGATGGTCGTTTTGATGTTCACGGTTCTGGTTCTGCTGGCGAATAAGACTAAACTAGTGATGATGATGATGATGATGATGATGACGATGATGTTGATGATGATCACATGTTAGTAATCGTAGTGCCCCAGCATGTCGAAATCCTGCAATGTGCAGCTGCATGGTTTCGAGCTGGATCCCCTCTTCTCTGATTCCTGCTGGTACGTTGTCAACCGGATGCATTTCTCAGAATGTCACACCACCTCTTGATGTCAAAAACTTGAATGCCGGAGACGCTGAGATGGACGGGAAAGAGACAACAAACAAGTACTACTCATACCAACAAGGCCAGACTGATCAATCTATTCCTTGTTACTCTTGCTGTTGCGATGACTATTATTATTGCGATTACGATTACTTTTACTACTACAGGTACTACAGGTACTATTACTACTACTCCTCCTCCTCCTCCGCCTCCTACTACTACTACTACTACTACTACTACTACTACTACTCCTACTCCTACTCCTACCCCTACTCCTACTCCTACTCCTACTCCTACTCCTACTCCTACTACTACTCCTACTACTACTACTACTACTACTACTACTACGACCACTACTACTACTACTACGACCACTACTACTGCTGCGACTACTACTACTACTACTACTGCTGCTACTACTACTACTACTACTATCACTACTACTGCTGCTGCTACTTCTACTACTATTAGTATCAGTGTGGGGGTGCAAGGCCGCTTTGCGAGCCGCCGAAGCCGACCTGGGCCAAGCACATGGTGTTTGCGCCTCAATCGTATACAAAGACAAATGAAACCTTTTGGGCTTATGGATGTTGTGCGTTTAGGGCTCAGGCATGTTTAGGGTTCCGAGTTATTTTAGTAGGTTAGTAGAGTGTCGAGTTCGGGCGACAGGCTTCAGGGTTGTTTGTCTGGCATACATGCACACTCACAGGCACAGGGCCGCGGCTGCAGCCACCCATCATCTACTCAAGACCCTCTGCACATTGCCATGCCACTCCAACTGCACAGTCATCTTGAAGGCCACTACCGCAGAAAATGGTAGATTTCAGCATGATCGTCGTTGTTGTTGTTGCAAAACTATTAGGTATCAGGATTGTTAGTAGTGTCCGCAATGCTACTTTGAACAGTACTGTCGGATGTATGTTTTGCGATTACTAACTACTGACTAAGAGTTTGCTGATGTTGTCTGACCTTCCCTTCAAGCAGGTTGTAGAAGCTGCTCGCAAAAAAGCTCATATGCCTGGAACCCGGCATTTTTGACGACCTCAGTCTTGCAGCGTCAACCCAGTGCTGGCACGATGTGCATGGTTTACGTCTTCTTCTGGCATTACAACCGCGGCATGCAGCCGAGGATAAAGCTACAGCAAAAGGCTGGATCTCACAAGGATCTCGAGGCAGCGCGCTTCTGTTAGTAAGATTTTCGCAGTGTGCCCCACGCTGCCAGCAGTTTTAGAGCCGGAGCGATGCTCGTGATGCCGCAGCTGCACCACATGCCTCCGTTCATGCCTCCACACTCCAAACAGCCGTGTACCTCCATGTAGACTGGAGCTCACACAGAGAACTGTCAGAGCCTGCCAAGCTGGATTGCCTTTAGACTGCACAGCCAACCTGCTCGGTAGCGTGATTCCTGCAGCAGGCGAGACACTGCCTTGACCTACTGGCGAGTTCCGAAAGCAGGGACTTGCGAGTTCTGGCAGGTAGCATCCAGGCGCAAAGTCGGCCCACAACGCTAAATTAGAGGCCCAGCCTGGGCAGAGAGAGAACCGAGCGCCGTGCTTGGAGGCCGCGGCCAAAGCGTTGGGAGCGGCTCATCCCATCGTAGAGAAGGGCCGCCAGGCGAGGGCTCCCTGAAGATTTCTGACAGCTTTTCACAAAACGTGGTCAGCTGTTGGCGAGGAGTTCTTGCAACAGCGACATGAGCTGCAGCGTCACCAGTCCAGCTCCCAAGACCGGCGCCTGCTCGTGTCTTTGCGGACTTTCCCCAGCTTCGACTGCCGAAGGTGGGAGGAATGTGTGGCGATTCATCACACCCTCATGGATCGAGACTCAGATGTCTCAGCTGAACATCTCGGCGAGATTCTCGCAGATCCTGAAGGCCGCGCTAAAATCTAAAGACAAGCTCCGATTCATGGATAGCTTGTCTTCTATAAGTCTGTAAACAAAAAGCACACAAAATCCTATAAAGTCCGCTACTGTTGCAATCTCAGGTCGAAGCCTGTGAGTCGCAAGATCCAGAGTCGGCTAGCCGAGCTTTCGCCACAACATGGGGCCTTCGGTTTGGGGTTTAAGGTGCGGCTAGGGTTTAGGGTTCAGCCGGGTCGGGTTGGGGGATCAGGAGGTTAGGTTTTACAGGGTTGAGGGTCTGGGCCGTGGGGATTAGGCGGTTTGGATTTCGGGTTAGTTTGCGTTTAGGCCGGCCAGCGTTCAAGGCTTTATGATAAAACTTTTACCGCTTAGTGTTAGGGCTGAGGGTTCGGGTTTCAGAGTGCAGGGTCTGTGGGTTTGGCCAGTTTAGTCCACCGTTAGGGTTCGAGGGAGGTGAGACTTGGGACATCGGGATCCTGACAGTCAGACCTTAGTTTGGATTGTCATTCGGATCCTAATTAAGATGGTTGCGATGCTTATGGGGTTTACGGCAGGTAGGGTTATCATTGGATCCGAATAAGGTTGCAGCGTTCGCGGGTCCTAGTTCGATTATCACAGGGGGCATCCTATGTCATCATAGGCATCATGATGTCGTCATAGGGATCCCATTACGATTGCAATAGCGATCTGATGATATTAGAGGAATGCGTATGACTCAGCAATTTACATCCATCTGGAACACTTGATCCCCAAGCCCTGGAGCAAGATGGGCAGCCTCGGGCATGTTCGGGGCTTAAACTTAGAAGCTGCATGAGGGTTCAGTGCAGAGTTCCCGGGCCCGGGGGTGAGCCAGGCTGCATTTGGTATCTGCTGTGCTCTGGAGCACCGATAGTAACTGCAACTGTTTCCGGTGCCCTCACTTCTGCCACGCAGCCAGGCAGATTGAAGCCCGGATCCTGGCGTCAGCACACAGCCCGCTCGGACAAGGCTGCACAGTGTGCGTGTGAGCATGAAGTCTCTAACTAAATCTGAGGTCTGGAGCCAGTGGCAAACTGCAGATACAGAAGGGTCCTCAGTGTAGGCAACTCATGTTGGAAGCTTTGTCATGGCCAGGTCATGATATTGTGCTCTACGGCAAGCGCTACTTGCTGTGGCTTCGGCGGGTTTCGGCCTGAGATGTATCGCGCGATTCATCTTGGAATCGAGTGCCATGGAGCTGACCTGACAGAGCACACTCCGTTACGGGCACCACCCCGGTAAGCCTGATGCAGGCCTTGCAGCGCGAAGCCATCGAGGCTAGGCAAACGCAATGCGCCGCGTGCCCAGATTCGCGAATTCTGTAAGGTGCAGAACCCTCAGAAAAAGCTCTCTTGCAACATCCTCTTTAGGTTTACCGTGTGCTACCGAGTATGTTCTGATACATCAATCACCACCGAAACATACCTGGCAATA